GGGGGGGCCATGCGGGCCTCGGCCGCGTCCCGTCCCTCTACCGGGGGGTCACTGCGTGCCGCCTCGCTCGGCGGCCGCTCCGTCATCCTGCAGACAGACAGACAAGCGGTCGCCCGCTCTGATAACCGCCCCCGGCCCACTGGCCTGGGCTGGGGAAGGGGTGAAGGCCAGGCAGGAACTCACGCATTAGGCGCGAGCAGAGGCGGACAAATTTAGGGCCACGTGGACACGCACCCGCCTTCAGGCGGGGCTAGAGGGGAGGGAAGGGGTCTCTGGATTGGGAGAGGAGTTGTGTGTTCGGTCTGTCTACGATAAGCAAAATCCACCTGTGCACTGCTGCAAACCCCAGCGCCCCTTTCACTCCTTCCCAGACCCGACTTGAGAAAGAAGAGGACCTGGCTCCTCCCTGCACACTACCTGGTTTTCCTGAGCTGAGATGGCCATTCAAAGGGTGTCCCTGAGACCAGTGGGGTCTGGGCTCCGGTTCAGGAGCAGTGCTGGGTATTGGGAAGGCACCTGAACCCCTCCAGCCACCCCCACCCGTCTCCAGTCTAGGTGCGTTCTCTGGGAGACTGGAGGAATACTTCCCTATACATTTAAAAGCACTATGCAAATGTTCAGGTGACCGTTATTATAGACAAGGAGAGTGGGCCAGCGAGGGGACTGCCTGGCCCAGTCACCCACAGCCTACCTGCACAGAGCGACCAGAACTTCCCTCTCACTTAGACTGCCTTACTCTCTCATGTCTATTTTATAGGAGCCAGAGGGAGCTTCCCTCTCTCCCACAACCAGGCTCCAAGAAGACCCCAGCCACTCCACTTCAGGCATCTAGGGGAGAGGGGGGCGGGCTTTCTCTGTCATCTGGCTTCATCTGCATGGAGCCAGGCCCCAGCAAGAACCAAAACAGAAAAATCATGAGACTCAGAGTCCAGAGTTTAGTGATGCTTGTGAGTTGTTTTAATTAAAACAAAAGACCCTGGGACCAGCAGTTAGCATAATGGCTATGTCGCTGAACTCCCATGTAGCCGACCTCGCTTCGAGTCCCGGACAGGTGGCTTAAACTCACGCTGCCGAGCACGTGTGCATGCGTGCCCAAGATCCCAGAGGAGAATGGAGGAGAAGGGATTGCGGTGTGGCCATCCCCCCTGGGGGGTGATTTCTCACTTTCTGTCTCTCTGTCTTTCTGGGGAGCACAGGTGCCCTATAGCAAAAACCTTTTAAAAAAATAAAAAGACTCTAAAATATAGTTAACTCAACAGGCTTTATAAGTTCTGCTCTCAGAATGATATAATTGGGATGTTTTAAAAACAGAAAATAAATACACAAAAAATTCAGCCCCAAGCAGAATCTACCTAGTCATTCATGGAAGCCACTGAGCTCCCATCTTGCCACTGTGGCGTTCTGGACCAGACCTACTCTGGGAAGCGTCCTGCCTCCCACCCTAGAAGGGAGACTGGATTTTCCACAACCGTCTTTGGAGTTCAGCTCAGTTGCCACCAGACACCCCAACTGAGAGAGAATCATGATTAAGACTGCTGGCTGCTCTCCCCAAGTCCTCGTGCACACAAGCTGCAAAGAAAATGGGGTTCACAGTGCTTGACTGGAAGCAAGTATATGGTTATGGCGGAGACAATAGGTTTACAACCACAGAATCTTGACATACACAGTGGCCACTGGTAATGCACCAGAAGTATACCAGACAAGGTGAAATGCACCAGAAAGAAACCAGCTCCTGGAGAAAGGTAGCTCCCTACCTCAGTCTCCGAGCCCGAGCACCGTGCTTCAGCTTTTAACTGAGCAAAAAGCAGTGTGCACTGACTGATCCCATCAGAGTTCAAGATCTGTTACGATACACTTATAATAATTCTGGGGATCCTACAGTAGGGGTGAGTTCCTGACAGGCAGGGGTGTACAGATTCCAGATGAGTTGACCCTAGCCCCAAACTCCCTCTCCATACACCTATACAAGGCCCCATCCCCAGGGTCCCAGTGAGAACCCTAACATTGGCCTCCCATGGTCTGCAGCTGACTTCTCCTCGCCCCTTCTGGGACCTGGGGTGGAGGATGACCAGACAGGCTTTTCTGCAGCCAGGATCGTCCCAGATGGAGGCCTCGCCTGAGGACTCACATACACCTATGGCTTCGAGCAAACTACATCACTTGTCTTGGGTACTGGCAAAAACTGGAGTGATTTCTATTAATTTGCTTTTATTTGGGGAGGGTGGAGGAAGGGAGAGAAGGTTGCAGACTGTCTCACTTGACTAGGCTCTTCTACCATTGCAACTCCTCCCCCTTTGTGTGCCAGAGACCCAGGCTGCAGCCCCCAACACAGAATCCTCATCTCCAGCTGCCAGACCAGCCGGCCAGCCGAATGTTTCCGCGGGTGCATGACCAAGATAGGAGATCCGGGGAGCTCCTTCCTGAGGGCAGGCAACGAACGGGTCTCCAGCAGCTCCAACGCTCCCATCCCCCCATGGAGAATTTCATAGATGAAAACAGTCTCCACCGTTTGGGCTAGAGCCACTGCCTTAGACCGGGTCTCGGTCCCTCCTACCGTACCCAAGCCTCCCCGGCAATGGAGGAGCCCCAAGCCTGCATTAGAACAAAACCTCTAGCAAACAACCCCACTATCCCGGGGCTACGGGAGTGGAGGAGTTCCAGCCCGCCCCCGCCCTAGGCCTTAGGCTCCAGGTCAGGGCCCACCCCTGAGTAGGACTGTTCTAGCCAGAAAGGCTTCGGCCTTCTTCCTGCCAGAGCGCGAAGCACAGCCGGCACCACCCGGATATAGCCGCCCCAAAGTTACCCGCCTTGAGAAACGTCCACAGAACCAGGGCCGAGGGGAGCGGCCTGGAGGCCCAAGTCCAACCAGCTAGCTTTACCCAGGGCGAAAGAAGGAAAGGGCCTTGCAGCAGAGGCAGCTAGCGGCAGTCAGACCTCAGACGCCGGACCCTGGGTCGGTCTTCCCCTGACAAGGAGAGTGGGCCAGCGAGGGGACTGCCTGGCCCAGTCACCCACAGCCTACCTGCACAGAGCGACCAGAACTTCCCTCTCACTTAGACTGCCTTACTCTCTCATGTCTATTTTATAGGAGCCAGAGGGAGCTTCCCTCTCTCCCACAACCAGGCTCCAAGAGGCCCCCAGCCACTCCACTTCAGGCATCTAGGGGAGAGGGGGGCGGGCTTTCTCTGTCATCTGGCTTCATCTGCATGGAGCCAGGCCCCAGCAAGAACCAAAACAGAAAAATCATGAGACTCAGAGTCCAGAGTTTAGTGATGCTTGTGAGTTGTTTTAATTAAAACAAAAGACCCTGGGACCAGCAGTTAGCATAATGGCTATGTCGCTGAACTCCCATGTAGCCGACCTCGCTTCGAGTCCCGGACAGGTGGCTTAAACTCACGCTGCCGAGCACGTGTGCATGCGTGCCCAAGATCCCAGAGGAGAATGGAGGAGAAGGGATTGCGGTGTGGCCATCCCCCCTGGGGGGTGATTTCTCACTTTCTGTCTCTCTGTCTTTCTGGGGAGCACAGGTGCCCTATAGCAAAAACCTTTTAAAAAAATAAAAAGACTCTAAAATATAGTTAACTCAACAGGCTTTATAAGTTCTGCTCTCAGAATGATATAATTGGGATGTTTTAAAAACAGAAAATAAATACACAAAAAATTCAGCCCCAAGCAGAATCTACCTAGTCATTCATGGAAGCCACTGAGCTCCCATCTTGCCACTGTGGCGTTCTGGACCAGACCTACTCTGGGAAGCGTCCTGCCTCCCACCCTAGAAGGGAGACTGGATTTTCCACAACCGTCTTTGGAGTTCAGCTCAGTTGCCACCAGACACCCCAACTGAGAGAGAATCATGATTAAGACTGCTGGCTGCTCTCCCCAAGTCCTCGTGCACACAAGCTGCAAAGAAAATGGGGTTCACAGTGCTTGACTGGAAGCAAGTATATGGTTATGGCGGAGACAATAGGTTTACAACCACAGAATCTTGACATACACAGTGGCCACTGGTAATGCACCAGAAGTATACCAGACAAGGTGAAATGCACCAGAAAGAAACCAGCTCCTGGAGAAAGGTAGCTCCCTACCTCAGTCTCCGAGCCCGAGCACCGTGCTTCAGCTTTTAACTGAGCAAAAAGCAGTGTGCACTGACTGATCCCATCAGAGTTCAAGATCTGTTACGATACACTTATAATAATTCTGGGGATCCTACAGTAGGGGTGAGTTCCTGACAGGCAGGGGTGTACAGATTCCAGATGAGTTGACCCTAGCCCCAAACTCCCTCTCCATACACCTATACAAGGCCCCATCCCCAGGGTCCCAGTGAGAACCCTAACATTGGCCTCCCATGGTCTGCAGCTGACTTCTCCTCGCCCCTTCTGGGACCTGGGGTGGAGGATGACCAGACAGGCTTTTCTGCAGCCAGGATCGTCCCAGATGGAGGCCTCGCCTGAGGACTCACATACACCTATGGCTTCGAGCAAACTACATCACTTGTCTTGGGTACTGGCAAAAACTGGAGTGATTTCTATTAATTTGCTTTTATTTGGGGAGGGTGGAGGAAGGGAGAGAAGGTTGCAGACTGTCTCACTTGACTAGGCTCTTCTACCATTGCAACTCCTCCCCCTTTGTGTGCCAGAGACCCAGGCTGCAGCCCCCAACACAGAATCCTCATCTCCAGCTGCCAGACCAGCCGGCCAGCCGAATGTTTCCGCGGGTGCATGACCAAGATAGGAGATCCGGGGAGCTCCTTCCTGAGGGCAGGCAACGAACGGGTCTCCAGCAGCTCCAACGCTCCCATCCCCCCATGGAGAATTTCATAGATGAAAACAGTCTCCACCGTTTGGGCTAGAGCCACTGCCTTAGACCGGGTCTCGGTCCCTCCTACCGTACCCAAGCCTCCCCGGCAATGGAGGAGCCCCAAGCCTGCATTAGAACAAAACCTCTAGCAAACAACCCCACTATCCCGGGGCTACGGGAGTGGAGGAGTTCCAGCCCGACCCCGCCCTAGGCCTTAGGCTCCAGGTCAGGGCCCACCCCTGAGTAGGACTGTTCTAGCCAGAAAGGCTTCGGCCTTCTTCCTGCCAGAGCGCGAAGCACAGCCGGCACCACCCGGATATAGCCGCCCCAAAGTTACCCGCCTTGAGAAACGTCCACAGAACCAGGGCCGAGGGGAGCGGCCTGGAGGCCCAAGTCCAACCAGCTAGCTTTACCCAGGGCGGAAGAAGGAAAGGGCCTTGCAGCAGAGGCAGCTAGCGGCAGTCAGACCTCAGACGCCGGACCCTGGGTCGGTCTTCCCCTCCCCCACCCCCAATCTAAGATCCGGCTCTTCTCTGTCACAAGCCTCCCCGACTCCAGGCTGGACTCCGAGACCTCCCTGGACAGTTTCCACCGACACCATCCCTCCCACATCAACGAAAAAAAAAATAATAAAACACAGGAACAAATACTCACCTGGGGCATCTTAGAGAGACAGGCCCCTTCGGATAGAATCTTCACTTCTCCCGGGGGAGGGCGGAGCCGAGGTCTAGGTTGGGGATGGGGGTCTTTGCTCTCCCCTCTGGCTGAGAGGCTAGCAGTTAGGCTGCGGTGTGGTCCTGGGCGGTCTGCCGCGCCCAACGCGCGAGTTTCCAGGAAAGATGGGGGTGGAGAGAAAGAGGAGGGCGAGAGGGAGGGAGAGAGAGAAATGGGGGTCAATGGCTGGGAATTACCTCACGTCCTCTGCCAACCAGCTGGGGGAGCCGAAAACAGCTATCCGCCCCCAACCTGCAGGTGTTTGGAGCCTACCCCCCCCCCCCCCCGTTAAAAAAAAAATACGTACACCTGACCAATCAGGAATAACTCTTTAGTCCAACAACAACAACCCCTCCCGGCAGCCTGCCCAGAACATTTTCGAACCCTCCAACTGGGATCAGTCTGGTTCGGTGTAGCGAGTTTGTTTCGTAAGCACGGACACGTCTACACGGTTGGCTCAGCAACCCCAGCTAGGCCCGGGCCCCGGCTACAGCGCAAAGGAGTAGTCCTGGGCCTGACGTGGATGGGTGGGGGGGATGTGTCGGGGAAGACGAATAATCTACTGACCCTCGTGGGTGGGGCAGAACCCCCCCACCGCATTCTCCATGACCCTCACATACCCACCTCCAGCCTAAAGCGAAAGCAGAACACGATTCCAAGGGCAGTACTTTCCTGCAGGAATGGGATGGAATGGGGTGGGGGAGGGGAGGAATATTTGATCTATTCAGGTCCCTGCTTTTCTTCCACTTGATTAAGAAAAGAAAGAGAGAAAGGAAAGAAAGGGAAAGAAACAGGGAAGAGAAAGAAATTTAGAAAGGAGGAAATTTTTCCCACATCTCTCACTATCTCTACAAAACGGTTTTTGATTAGGGAGGGGGGCTAGACAGGCAGAGTAGGGGAGAATTCTAATAATTTGTTGCAGCTATTCATATAATAAAAAAAGCAAAAGGGGAGGAACCCGATTCTGCCTCCAGGGGTGTAAGGGTATTTAGTTGCCCCCTCCCCGGTGGATTTTGTTTTATTCATTTTTGCCTAAATTGTCCAGTTTATGACCACACATGGAAGTCCTGGATTAATTGTGAAGACCTCCTTTTTGACGCAGCTTTGATGGAAATACAGGAATAATTCTTCCCTGAGTTTCAACCCAATGCAGGAGATGTTCTTTCTCCTCTTTTAAATCAAACGAGGAGAGGGAAGGAGAAAAAGGGAGAGTCTGCCGATTCAGGTATGTTAGCTTGGGGTTAAAGCTGCTTTATGGCCCAGTCTCTTGTGTCCGTTCCTCTCTCCATTTTCTCTCCGTCTGCCAAACCCAGCAGTCAGAAAAAAAGCCGAGATAAACCGTGCCGCTTTGTTCTCCCTCGGAAGAAGTAAAAAGGAGCCGCTTCTGCGCCCCTGACGACTATTTTATTTAAAATAGGATGTTAACGATGATCGTTGTGAAGATGATGACATTACCAATCACAGTAACTGGTAAAAAAGGAATCCTTTCTTCCCGATCTAGAACAGCACCGACCCGGTTCCTCCATGGAGCCCAGACTGCGCTGCGGTCACCGGAGCGATGGGTACGAGCCCGCGCAGGAACGTCTCACCCGAGGAGGGGTGGGAAAACATTCCCTGGAGGGGATCCCTAGGGTCCCCACTCAAGGCGCGAGACCAGGAGACTGCGCCGATTGTCTTTGGGAGGCCTCTCCCCCAGACCCCAGGGGCCGCGCCCTCGAAACTGACCAGAAATGGACGAA